TCCAATCTACCCATGTCCACAGATTTTCACTGCTCCAGTGGCCTCTGCTGCTTTATTGTTTTCCCCAGCTTCTTCAGGGAGCTTCTCTAACAGACCCTGTACTTAGGGATAGGATAGTTGGAGAAAACAGAGACCAAAAGCAGCTCTAAGAGAAGCAGATCATCAGGCCGCAGACAGTAATAGCTGTAATTGCCAAGCTCCAAGTCATCAATGCTTTAGAATTAATTTCCTGCTGTGTCCTGACCCTCCACATGTTTGGACATTTACCTTCCTCTTTTCATGATGTCCTTGTTTTGTCTGGGTATTTAGCTGTTTGTTTTTCTCTGTGATGTGGAGTGTCTATTACATTTATTCTGTATCGTTGTGGGGTTGCACTTTATTTCTTTGTGGCGTTTCACAGTATGCGCCTATCCTAGGCTCCAGTCACATATACATTACACACAGTTACCATATTTTCAAAACTACATGCAAAACTAGCCACATTAACTCAGCATCAGCCTTTGTGCTCCCCCCAAGTATTGAAACCAGCTGGAAGCTGATTAGGCTCTTGGTGCTACATAGAACAGCCTCAAAGCTACTCTAAATTGCACCATCTGCTCCTGTCCCAGAGAACATTCTGGGACTCAGCCTACGCTAGAAAAGTTGGCCAGTCTAGCTGTCCTGGGAAACCCTCGTAGTGTAAATACACCCTTTTCCGGCAAAGGATGGCTTTAGCTAGAGTAGCTTGTACCAGTTTTCCAAACATAAGCTGTGCCAGTAAAAGCACCTTTTTGCCAGTATAAATACATGTACATTATGGATTTTGCCAGTATAAAAATACCATAAAAATCACCGCCCCTAACTGACATTGGTATGCCGACAAGCAGTCAGGGGATCATCAGAATGATGGGACAGTAAAGCCACATCCTCTTTTCCGCAGTCATACCCTGTAGGCTGGGCACCAGGACAGGAGATGGTGTAGCGAATGCCCAGGTAGTGGGCTAAGCCAGTGTTATAGCTCCTTTCCACTACCAAAGTGGCAGAAGGGGGCCATAGCAGGCCCACAGGTCAGATCCAGCAGGTGTGAAACAAATATTACAGACATGCCAAGGAGTCAGAAGTTGGTGTATCTTGGAAGGTAAAGAAGAAAGCAAGTAATTTGCCACGTCCATTTTATCACACACCTTCCTGTTGCTTTTCCTGATAACCCACCTTCTTTTTCTTGGTCCTGTAACTTACATTCATTTTGTGCAACTACTGGGCCAGACCCTGAGGCCCAGTTTTTGTGCACCTGGTGCAACTCAGGAGGAAAATATTGTAGGACCCTGGGATGGGCACCAAGCATAACAGAGAACAGCCTTTCTAGTTGGGAATCACCAAGGTGTACCGATACTCCAGCCATGCCCTTTACACTAGGGGCACTAGCAAGGGGATGGCTTACGTCACCAGTGAATTCCCTATGCATGGGGAATTCTCAGGGGGCCTTTCAGATAGGTCTTGTAGCTGTTTTGCACTGGTACAGATCAGTGGACGTTACACTATTTTCCTGCTTACATCATTTTCTGACCATATTACATCCAATGTGTAGTTTTTGCACAACAGTTTGCTTTCTCCACTGAATTTGACCCTAAGGGTTCTGTGGGAGTTACATCCAGTTACACCAGCCCTAAATTTGGTCCCATAAGTATGTAACTACCTTTATTCTGTGGTTATAGTCATCCTAGTTGAGATTAGCAAAAATAGTGTGAATTTGCTTGAATAATCTTTCTGGCCCTTAGCCTCTAGAAAATGAAAATATTTCCTTTTGGGGGAGAAAGGAGGTTGAGAGTTTGCAAGGCCTCTTTTATAATTTGCTTGGCAGTTTCCTAACGTCCAAAGGCAACTCTGGCATGTCCAAAAGAGACTTTTAAGAGAACCTTCCCTCAGATGGCTAAAGGAAAAATGATTCTGCGGCCCAGCTATACTTCTGAGCTGCAGTGTCAAGGATACTTGTGAATGCTGATTTTAGGGGCAAATTGCCAGGAGCTATTTCCAAATCTCAAAATATAAATGCACAAAAATGTAGGTGAGCAAATGTGAGGATGAGGGGTCTTTGAAATTTTGACACTTACTGGCTGTAATGTGGAAGTTAAAAATAAAATCAACTAAATGTGCCTCTCTGATTCAGTCCAGTTCCCTCTTACTCTCAGACTGGATCTTTGCTAACAGCTTTCATAGGGGTAATTTTAGCTACTAGCCATGGTATTGCAGAACCCATTAAGCTGCGGGAACTGGGTCTCCAAACTGCAGCTCTTAGGAAAAAATGGAGGAAATGTTGGCTAAAGTGTAACGTACTGGACCAGATTCTTCCCCGGCCTAAGGCTGTACAATTCCATTGACTTCAGCAGAGTTGAATCCATGTATGTCACTGGTAAATTTAGCCCATTGAATGCATGAGACCAGAAGAGTGTAGGGTACTTTATTTCCCCCTAAGGGGGTTGAGAAATTCCATAAATATCCTCTGCATCGAGTAAGAAAAGAGCATGTTCGGATGCATGTGTCAAGTGTAAAATACCTGACAGCCTTCAGGAGAAAGGTATGTGAGCCTCAGTGAGCACTGCTGAAAACTATGCTATTAAAAGTACTGGAGTCTATTGCCTGCAGCTAGTTATGCAGTTTGTGGAGAGGATTTTTAATCTTATTTTCTATAATTATATTTGTTTGGGGAAGAAGGGGCGGAGAGGGGGTTATTTTATTTGTTTTGGCGTTGTTGGATTTTGGGGAGTTTTTTGCAAAGATTCTGGAACCACAGTCAGTACTATAAATTGACTGCCAATATTAAAGGCTGACTTAATATGTTAAAACTGCAGTTCAGGTACGTCAAACCCTGGAATTTCTGGAAACCATAAAAACGTCATCAGGTCAGAATCAAAGATATGTGCATAACAAGAAGTGTTCTAAGGCAAAGCATGGCTGAGCTCTATGTAGTGCCTTTCTTTGTATTGCCTCCACAGCAGGAAAGAGAAAACCCTTGGCTGGTTGAAAATGTTCTGCCTAAACTGTTTTTGACTGAAATTTGCGGTTTTGGCTAAATGAAAATTTTCACTTTCTGTGAAAAATTGTGATTATTTTTTGGTCAAAAAAAGAATGCCTGAAAACTGAAATATTTAGCTTTGGAAATGATACTGTGGTGCCTAATGGAGTTGCCATTTGGTTGACTCATAGCCCCATTCTCCTGTATGGGCTGGGCTCCCTGGCTAGACTATATCTCCCATGATGCACCACAGCTAGGGACTCCCATGATGTACAGCCTCCCCTCTCTCAGAAGACTATAATGCATCATGAGAGATGTGCTTTGACCAGGGAGCCCCAGCCTATATTGGAGAATGAGAGCATGAGGCATCCAAATGACAGCTCCCTTGAGGCACCCCAGCAGGGCCGGCTCCAGGCACCAGCTTACCAAGCAGGTGCTTGGGGCAGCCACTTCGGAGAGGGGCGGCACGTCCAGCTGTTCAGCGGCAATTCGGCGGACGGTCCCTCACTCCTGCTCGGAGCGAAGGACCTCCAGGCAAATTGCCGCCGCAGATCGCGACCGCGGCTTTTTTGTTTGTTTGTTTTGTTTTGTTTTTTTTGTTTGGCTGCTTGGGGCGGCCAAAACCCTGGAGCCAGCCCTGCACCCCAGCCAGGTGTTTCCAGATCAAATTATTTTGGTTTTCACCCTAAATTTTTTGGTATTTGAATTTGCACCCAAAAAAAAACCCACCTGAAAAAAAAATCCCCTATTTAAAACTTTTTCAACCCTCTGTATGTTGGATGGCAGAGACAGCAAAAGAAGGCCTAGATTACAGGTGGAAAAACGTGTTAAAGGGGAGAAAAGTTCCAAACCCTTCCCATGTAGAGTTTCCTCCAATTTTTTTAATTCTGGAATGTGGGATTTGTCTCTCTCTCCACTTGTCCCAACTGCCCCCCTCTCTTTCCCCAAGAAGAAAAACAATGTCACCTTGCTCTCTAATAATACCCGTGGCTGCCGTATTGACCCACTCTGAAAGAGACACATCCAGCTCTTTCCGCGCAAATGGAGAGCTGCTGCAATGTGTTAAGCAGGGAAGAGGAAAATGGAAGAAGAGTGAAGAGGACCCCTTCCTTGATCAATAATGACGAGTCTTTTCAGTTTTCGGGCCCCAAAGCTTACACAAACTCAGAAAAATCCATGTTTAAGGGTCTATACAAGAGCCAGACGGTGTTTGTATACAACCCGACCCTTCGTTATCAGTGCCCTCATTTTTTATTCAGCATTTCAAAATAGCCACTTTGTTTTTAAATGCCAGAAAAGAACTAAATTTTACCCATCACTCATTTAAATTAAAATGACTTTTTCAAACCTTCTTGGAGCAAGAGAATCATGAGCAGTTGTGTTAGGATTCTTTTTTATAGAATATACAATAATGATCCAAGTCCTGATTCAACAAGGTACTTTGGTGCAAACTTTAAAGTTAGGCATGTGCTTAAGTGCCTTGCTGAATTGGGGCCCTAGAGTTATAAGCTGACTGACGTAGTACTTTTCACTTTTGGCAAAACATGACACAAAACAAAGCTAGCTTGACTAATTATAATACAACAAAAGTTAAAGTCTTGTCATTTTTAGAGGGAATTCCTCAGGTCAAGTTCATACAAGTAAGGAGAATAAAGTCCAGAAATAACATCATTATTATTAGAACCTCTAAAGGTTTGGCATGTGTCTCACACTATGTCAAGCAAAAGTTTTACTTTATTGTCAGGTCACATTTCATGTAATGATTGGAAAATTTCTGTGCTGTGCCAGTCCAGTAACTCTGGGTAAACTTTCAGTAATGTAGCAAACATATTTCCTCTGGTAACTATGTCAACCTACTACTCCTCGCTCCCCAGTAGTGTAAAATAATAAGCACATCCAGTTCAGCCATCCGTTGGGTGAACTAATTTGTTTGCTCTGCATTCATATCTAGCATTGCTAGCTTTCCATCAGCAATACACTTACATGATGTACCTGCTTTGTACTGCAGCGTGTTCCTGCCACCCAGTTGGATCGGCCATGCTTCCTTTCAGCACTAATACCTTCTGTGATCCCAGCAACGGTGACTGCCCCTGCAAACCTGGAGTGGCAGGTCCTCAGTGTGACCAGTGTATGGTGGGATACTGGGGCTTTGGAGAGTATGGCTGCAGACCGTGTGACTGTGCCGGAAGCTGTGACCCACTCACTGGTGACTGCATCAGCAGGTGAGTGGACAGACATGCTATTTCTCTAGACTCACAAATGCGATTAGATCATGGACCTTCATATCCCAGATATGTTCAATAAGTGTTGATTATTTTAGATAGTACCAATCCAAACAATAAAGTCTAACGAAAACCTGATGATACACACAGTTTATAAATAGATACTGGGCCAGATTGCCTTCCTCCTATGGAGAAACCTATTGGAGAGAGTCAGAGAAGACTAAAAGCTCCATGTGATTACCTGGCACAGTTTCCTGCCAAAGATTTCATGGCTTTTGATGGGAGGGCTTTTGCTGTCTGCAGGGTTAGCAGGGGACAATACCTTCCAAGCCTTCAGATCTAGAGGATCCACAGGGAAGGAGCCATCTAGATACATGGAAGCAGGAGCTATCTGCCTGGATGGCTGCCCCGCTGTGTTTCTCTACTGGCCCAACTATCCCCTTGTGACAGCAGGGCAATAGCTGGAGCTGTGTGGCCATTGTCTGAGTTGCCCTGCAACTGCTCTGTAGCAGTCCCAGAGGGGAGCCAGAGAGAGTTAGTAGAGCAGGTCTGAACATGGGCGGTGCTGTAAAACTCAGCCAATCCTCGACTCACTGGTGCCCCTCCAGTGTCCCCTCTTCCTGTGCCCATGTGGAGCAAAGAGCCCATGGCTGGCCATCAAATAGTTTCCATGGAGCCCAGGATGGAAATCCGTCCACCCTGATGTGCATATGAACAGGGGATGCACTGGCCCTACCATATTTATCTTTATTATATTGTAGGGCCTCAGAGTTCAGCCAGTCACACTTTTATATGATACGGAAGCAGGATCTTGGGTTAGTAATATGTTTAAGTTATTAACAATAATATGTCAGGAGAATGGCCCATTTTATTATAGTATCATGGGTCATGACGAAGGCTAAGATTTTGTTACGGATATTTTTAGTAAAAGTCAGGGACGAGTCACAGGCAAAAAAGAAAATTTCACAGAAGCCGTGACCTGTCCCTGACTTTTACTAAAAATATCTGTGACAAAATGGGGATCTGGATCCCCATACCTCCTGAAGGGGGGGCAGCTGCACAGGGGCTAGGAGCCACCTGCAGCAGCTGGGGACTGCGGGGTACCCCCACCACCCACAGCTCTGGGGGCTGCAGCGGCCAGGAGCTTGGGGGTTCCCCCGCCACCCACACTGCCAGGAGCTCGGAGGTTCCCCAGCCACTGCCGCTGGAGAGCTCAAAGGTTCCCCAGCCACCCCTGCCACCCAGGAGCTCATGGGTTCCCCTGCCATCCCCGAGGGTTCCTTGGCCTGCAGCAGCTGGGAGCTTGGGGTTTCCCCACCACCCACAGCAGCCGGGGGCTGCAGGGTTCCCCCACCGTCTGCGGTGGCCAGGAGCTGCGGGATACCCTGCCGCCTGCTGTCAGTGGCTGGTGGGAAACCCTGCAGCTCCCCACCACTGAGGTCACAGAGGTTGCTGGAAGCAGGGCTGGCTCCAGGGTTTTGGCCGCCCCAAGCAGCCAAACAAACAAAAAGCCGCAATCACGATCTGCGGCGGCAATTCGGCGGGAGATCCTTCGCTCCGAGCAAGAGTGAGGGACTGTCCGCCGAATTGCCGCCGAACAGCTGGACGTGCCGCCCCTCTCCAAAGTGGCCACCCCAAGCACCTGCTTGGTAAGCTGGTGCCTGGAGCCGGCACTGGCTGGAAGTCACAGATTCTGTGACTTCCACGACCTCCGTGACTAAATCGTAGCCTTAGTCATGACATATAGCCTCCCGTTCCTGACATCTGGGTATTTGGTGCTGGTATTTTCAGGTTCTTACAATTTGCGGAGAAGTGGGGGTTTCCATGCATTTGAAGAAAGATTGAAGGGCTCAGTCCTGCTACCATTGAAGTTAATCACAAATGTCTCATTGACTTAAATGGACCAATGTCAAGCCCTAATTTACTGGATGCTAGAGAAGAACATATTTTAAATCTAACCATCTCAGGAGGCCTAGGTTACCAATTACCATCTCTAGGCCAAGCTGGCTGGTGTCTTCCTGGTGGGTTTTGCCCACATGCTCAGGGTCTAACTAATCACCATATTTGGGGTCGAGAAGGAATTTTCCCATGGGTCAGATTGGCAGAGACTCTGGGGTTTTTTTACCTTCCTGTGCAGCATGGGGCACAGGTCACTTGCAGCTTTAACGTAGTGTAAACAGTGGAGTCTCTGTAACTTAAAGTCTTTAAATCAGGATTTGAGGACTTCAGTAACTCAGCCAGATTTTATGGGACTAATGCAGGAGTGGATGGGTGAGGTTCTGTGACCTGCGATGTGCAGGAGGTCAGACTGGATGATCATGATGGTTCCTTCTGACCTTAAAGTCTGTGAGTCTCTGAGCTGTACAAACAGATCCTTCTATAGACATTGTATATTCTCTGAGATTATATATCACATACAAATTCCTAAAATATATTTTATACCAAACATGGATCCGTAACACAAATCTGGGAGTTTACAATGATCAAGCTGTTCACTGTCTAAAACTATTCAGTTTTTTGTGTTTTACAATACCAATAAATCTGGAGAAACTTCATGATAAATTTCTGAAAAATGGACTAATTTTCTTGAATGTGTGGTATTTTCTACTGATTCCATAAGAAACAACTCACTATTTTCCTTTTATTACAACAGTGCGGACATAGTCTGGCATCACGAAATTCCTGATTTCCGCTCTGTGTTTAACGAGAGTGAGCCAGCTTGGGGATGGGAGGACGAACAAGGATTCTCTGCTCTCCGGCATTCAGGTGAGATAGCTGATTCAAACATATTTCTCATCTCCCCTCCTGTTACTAAGAGATTGTTCCTAATGAACAAGAAAAGGGTCTTTTAACGTGATTTGTGAAAATGCAGCAGAGCGTTGCTTTGGATTAATGCCTTAGCAATGGTGGTAGCGAGGAATGTAATGTCCAACGTTCAGTACTGTTCAACTACCAAAAACAAAAAAGCCTAAGGAACATTGAAAGACTGACTTCGACCCACATACACAAGGATATCTAAAGTCTAGGCAGACAGTCCCATCTTAAAATCTGATCCTAGTGAGTAGGGGTTGATAGCTTGAATATCTGCCTGGGTTTTCATCCTGAGCTCTGAATTCTTGGGCTTTTGCTCATTTACATCAGAATACTTTTAAATGCTCTTTTCTTTTACTTTGTTTTAATAAGCTCCTTTATGTGATATTTGCCAAGAGCTGTTATATTCTGTTGGGTAAATTGATGATAATGTTATTTAAAGAGTGTGATGTTGCCCAGATGAATTAGATATGTAATTAGGGAATTTCTAAAACAAGAGTGACAACACCATAATTTTCTCAGACTATCATATCAAGTTTGGAAGCTGTTGTGGTTGATGACATGGTTACAGAGTATCTCATAGTCCAGCTATGATTTCAACTGGAGAAGTTATTTTCCACTTGTCCTCCTAAAAAGTATTGTGTAACTTTGCTGGACCATATGATTATTAGTAGGCAGTGTGGCCTGGTTGTGCATCTCCTCTGTTGGTGAGCGCTTACTCACATGACTAATCTTAATGACTTCAATGCAACTATTCGTGTGAGTGAGCATTCACCAGGAGAAGGTTTCCACAACTAGGGCCTTTGTGTTTTGCAGATTGCCAGTACACCTGCTTTCTAAAGTCATTCCATCTTATCAAGTCAGTGCAAGTGCCACTTTCTGCATGTGCACTAAATTGCATGATAAAAATTCTGACTACACATTAAGTGGGGAGAAAAAACCCTAGTGTCTGTCCATTTTTTATTTCAAGAGCACAATAGCAATTAATCGGCAAAATACAGAATAACCATCTGCAATATTTCATTTTAAGCAAATTTTGACTGGTACAAATGCAAAGATAGAATCAGAAAAGACTCGCTTCTTATTTTAGTACTGTAATTCAAAATAGAAAGGGTTTTTTTCCCCCCTCCCATCAGAGTTTGTGCAAAAACTACTTCCTTTTGGGCTAAGATCTTGTGAACCTGGAGCCCAATTTTCTAGCTGACCTCCTGAAATCCAATTTTCAGCTGACCTCCTGAAGATAGGGGGTTGGGCCTTGACCAAGCAAAATAATTAAGCACTGTGCTTGACTTTGAGCATGTGATCAAGTGTAGTTGACGTTGACATGGAACTACACACAGGCATAAAATTAAGCTCCTGCTTAAGTGCATTGCTGGCTCGGACTTAAAATGAAAACCCTGGCAAACAAATGGCAGCGCTATAAGACTGTAGTGCAGAGGGGCATACTACAGAACATTGTGAGCTATATTGGGAAAGTCCTTGGGCTCAGGCCCCTTTGCACCACTCCTATGGCACGATTGGGGTGGACAACTGGTGGATCTCCCCAACTGAGCATTCCTTTGGCACAGGGGAATCCTTGTGTGGCACAGAGTCAGGGCTGGTGGGAGGTTGGAGAGTTTATATTATTAAAAGCTAAAAGTTGGAAGATTCCAATTTTAAAATAAATAAACTTGACATCTAATTAAAGGTGGCTTGTATGTTCTGAAAGACGAGCTTGTGCTTCAGTTACATGCTTTTCAAAACTGGGGAGATGGGCATGCACTAGGGCAGGGATCAGCAACCTTTGGCACACCTGCGGCATGTCAAGGAAATCCACTGGTGGGTCGGGACAGTTTGTTTACCTGCAGTGTCTGCAGGTTTGGCCGATCATGGCTCCCACTGGCCGCGGTTTGCCATTCCAGGCCAATGGGGGCTGCCGGGAAGTGGCACGGGCCAAGGGATGTGCTGGCCGCCACTTCCCGCAGCCCCATTGGCCTGGAATGGCAAACCACGGCCAGTGGGAGCTGCAATCAGCCGAACCTGTGGACGCTGCAGGTAAACAAACCGTCCTGGCCCGCCAGTGGATTGCCCTGACATGCCGCATGCCAAAGGTTGCGATCCCTGCACTAGGGAAACGGATGCTCAGTTATGTCTCACCTGGTGTCCTGTGGTGTTTTCAAACCTCGTTATGGGCAGAGTTGCACTAATAAAAATACAAGTAACAATTTGCCCATGCGGTTTGCCTGGGTCTGGCACTTGGTTACCAATGCTTGCAGCTCCTGCGTTCTCGTTCCCTGTGCAAGGTTACAAATGGTGGTGGTGAGTTGTTCTTTTAAGATGTGCCTCATGTCTGCTGGGAAGTGATAGAGCCCTCAAAATCCTCTCACACAAATCACTGAATAGGCAGTCACTGGGTAATGACTTTGTTGGCCTGATTCTCCTCTCACTTACTCAACTATGAAGCAAAGTGATTCAAGGGAGGTCAGTGGAGTTACACTATGTAAGGCTAGTGTGAGAGAAGGACAAGGGATGAAATCCAGGCCACAGCAAAGTTAATAGCAGAACTCTTCCTAACGTCAGTGGGGCAAGGATTTCACCCCAGACCCTGTCTCTACCTACTCGGGCTGATCTAAACGAACAGTACTGGAGTGAAAGGCTCTATATCCCATTAGTTACCCCCTGATCCAGTCCATCCCCTCCCTTTGCTGCACGTTTCAATCTTTTGAGTACCATCCATGAGACACTTTTGGTTTGGTTTGTTTCAACAGGTAAATGTGAATGCAAAGAACAAGTTTTAGGGAATCCCAAGGTCTTCTGTGGAATGAAATACACATATGGTGAGTTACAAGACAGACACATTCTTGTTGGGTTGGGTTATTGTTAGCACATAAAGGGCAGTTTGAGGAGTCTGTGAAAGAGTGTAAGAACAGCAGAGCTGGTGCTTACCCCATAAAATGGATTAAAACAGCAAAAGCTGAAGAAAGGAGGTAATAAAGTTTATATATCTTATTGCAACTTACAGGAAAAGCCAAGTATCAGAGGTGGATTCCCATGAACACTCACTGGGCACATCACTTGGCAGACACCCAGTTTGCCTGTGTTCTGATTATACCCAAGATAATTTTCAAGGAGCAATTATAAAGAAAATTACTTATTTATTTACAAATTTGGAACTCTACCCTGCATGTCTTCCATGCCCAAGACACCCTTGATTTTCAGTGGGAGGACTGGGTGCACAAGAAATGCAGGACAGGACCTTTATTTGATGCAAGTTGCCACAGTATTTAGGCAATGTGCAAAATATATAATTATGAAAACACACACACACACACACCCCTATATACACTACGCATAATGGCCAAGCATAATCAAGTGTCCTGCTCTATTATCCACCCACTAACCACTAGAAAACCCCCTTGGCTGGAGGACCAATACTAAAAGGAAGACCTTGTCCAAAAGGTCCACCCTGCACCATTGCCTAGAGGCCACCAGCTCTGAGCTCTGATAACTCACAAGAGTGAGTGATTTCCCTGGGCACAGACCATTCACTGAGAAGAATCTTCCGCCAGCTCTTAAGAGTTCACTCCTAAGGACTGGCACCCTGTCAACAAGAGCTCACCAGTTGGAATGGAGTGATGTTAGAGCGTTTGCATATTGAGACTTAAAGGAGTAAGGGGAAAACTTTGCCTATGGTGAGCCGTGCAGCTGTATGCCACTGAACTGTCTCCTTTATACCGTGCAGGGGAAGGAATTCTTTGTATAAAACCCTCTTCGTTTCATGAGCTTTCAAACTTTTTTGCACCTGCTCTGTCTCGTGCTAGAGTTTAAAATGCATTGAGAGATAATCCATGCCATTACAGACTGCGCAGTGACCCACAAAGAGAAGTTCAAGGGGCCGCATGTCATTGAAATATGGCCCTGGCTTAGCGGTATTAGAAAAAAATCCATCTCTGCTTTGCTTTGCTTCCTGACTGCGATAGTGACAGTGTTTAATCTAGCAAAAGATAAGAAATAAAAGCAAAAAAACAACTTCATAAATCTTATCTGAAGTGCACTCAGGCCTCCCACCCTTTCATTACTCAGTGTTGCAGGGTGTCAGCTAAATTACAGAGCCCACAGCTGAATTGTAGGGTTCATCATATGCGTGAAGTGAGGGGCTGCAGTGTAGAAGAGTCGTCGTCTTATACTTTTTAATATGGATTCTAAATAAAGCAACATCAGAAGAAGCTATTAAATACTATCACTGCTCTCCTAGGGGTCATTTCTGCAGCAGCCTGCGTAGCATGGCAGCAGGACTGTACGTCCACATTGCAGCTGTAGGGGTAATTTTCAGCCCGGGTAGATGTACATGAGCTGGCTTTGATCAATCTAGTTCACTGAAAATAGCAATGTAGGAGTAGCCACAACCGCATGGGCACAGGATGGGTGAGCTGCCCAAGTGCCATCCCGACTGAGACCCTAGGTATGTATTCAGGCGGCCAGCCCAACCCACCGCCTGCACTACCATGGCTACACTGCTATTTTTAGTGCGCTAGCTCAATCAGAGGTAGCGCGGGTATGTCTACCCAGGCTGGGAATCACGCCTCCAGAACCAGCAGAGATTTACCCAGCAGGTTTTGTTCACAACACCAAGTGCAGAAAGCAAAACTGGTCCACAGGTATGGAAACATCGCTCTGCATCGTACAGCTGGCACACATCCATCCCAATGAACGCTGAGAAAAGATCTGCTGTGAGAAGAAAGTGGGGGTGACTCTGGGCATTGGCGAGCCCAAATGCCAGCGGACAGTGGCCCTCGTGTTTTAGTTTAGTTACTCGGGCATGTGCAGGAGTATCGGCAGCTAGAGATGAGCGGGATTGTGGGGGAAGGGGGTGGACGGTGCTGTTCAGGTGCCTGTCATTCTATTTCGTGTGCCTTGACCAAGGTTTGCAATAGCAAGAGCCTAAAGTTTGGTTCCTGAAAGTATATTGAAGCTGAAAAAGCAGCAGTTCCCACTGACCTCCATGGCAGCAGGGGGGTGCTGAGCATTTTGAAAGTCAGGTCACTCAGCATCTCCTTACCCTGTGGTCTTTAGGATGGGCGGGCATCTGGCACAGTTACTGTTCAAATAAAACTAACCCGGCGTTCTCTCCAACAACTGTGAAGTATTGATTTCTGCATGTCACTAGTCTGACAGCAAGGCTCGCAGGGTACGTCTATACGACAGTGGCAGGATGTGATTGCCGCTCAGGTGCACAAACCCGAGCTAGCTTTAATCTAGCTAGCTCAAGTCCCAGAGCAGTGAAATTAAGGCAACACTCGCCTTGATGAGGACTAGCCCTGCGAGAACTGCTGAGGGATCTGGGCGGGCTTGAACAGCCCCAGCTGAAACCCAGGCTGCTGCAGCTTCACTGCTCCAGCTGCTATCCAAGCTAGCTAGATTAAAGCTACAATCACACCCTGCGACTGCAGTGTAGACGTACCCACACAGGCTCAGCCTAAAAATGGAAACTCTCAGGCTAATTCTGCAATGTATATTCACCTTAGCTGTGTTACTCAACACTGCATTAGAAAGAGAGGTGGGTGTGACCATTTTATCTATTGCTGCTTTTGAAATTGTGCCTTCCCAGTGGTGAAAGCAAAGATTTTATCAGCTCACGACAAAGGCTCCCATGCAGAAGTAAACGTGAAGATCAAGAAAGTGTTGAAATCAACAAAGTTTAAGATTCTGCGAGGAAAGCGAACTCTCTACCCGGAATCCTGGACTAACAGAGGCTGCACTTGTCCAATTCTTAATCCTGGTAGGTATTTGGCTTGGACTCTGTGAAAAGTACGCCCCCATCAAGTTTATACTGATTTCTTCCTCGTTCCTCCACCCCATCCTCCAGTGCATTTAATTTATAGTCCTGCACTAAGACACTGGATTTTAGTCCATCATTTAAACTCCAAGAGGAGTCTCAGTGGAATACTTTTATTTGGTATAGAAAATCCTTATTCACGTCACATGTTGTGAGGAGTGAAACTGCTATTTGTAAAGCAGAATTACAGTAGTACAGCTTTACATTGCTAATCCACCAGTCACTCACTGCTCTCACTGCTGAAAGCAGCTACACGTAGAGCCAGGCACCTACAAGATAGAGTTCTTTTCAAATCTAATTTTGCTTTAGATCCATAATAACATGTTCAAGTTTTCAGTTCTAGATCTGGTCAAATTATTGTTCTGCTGTTATAACCTTCTCTCAAAGGCGCCCACACTTAGAATGCCTTCTTCATAAGTAGTGTTGAATTAATTTAGACTAAAATGACACGGAAGAAGCTCTTTCTTTGGGGGTGGGTGGGAAGCTTTAGCTTCAACATCTTTGCTCATCAGCTTTCAATGAACAGGTTTTAGGTTTCAGATGAAGTGTAATCAAGGCTGATAAAACAATGCATGCTGGAATCAAGAAATTCAGAGGCAGAATTTTTCAGTAGAGAGAAACTAAAATCCACCTAAACTATCTTTTTTACTATTCTAGACAAGCGATCAGCTAACAACTAGGGAAACATTTTCTTTTTAGAGCGGTAGCCATGTTAATCTGTATCAGCAAAAACAACGAGGAGTCCTTGTGGCACCTTAGAGACTAACAAATTTATTTGGGCATAAGCTTTCATTGGCTAGAGCTCACTTCATCAGATGCATGAAGTG